CCCCCCCCCCCCCCCCCGACAGGACCCCCCCCCTCACCCCCCCCCTCACCCCACCGCCTAGATACGCGCGGATAGCCGCCGTCGTCCACGCCAGCACCGGCCGGTGCTCGTCTAGAGCGCGGCGGCGAAGTTGGCAGCGCCTGGCGGCCGGCTCTCAGAAGAGATCCTGCGCGGTGCTGAGACCATCGAGGTCTCTCGATGATTGTCCGGGGAGAAGCGGTGGAGCTGCGGCACAATGCGGTTGACCAACGTACCATCAGCAAACTCATTTTCGCTCCTTGCTGGGCCACGATGCCTTGCCCACGCTGGCCATACTCGGGCGGGCGCCGGTTTAACGGAGAGTTCCCAGCCGCGCCCTGCGCTGCTTCGCGGGGCTAGAGAGCTGCGCGGCCGCGGGCCGGCCCGACCCTATTCGCGCAGAGACCGCACGACGAGATTACCGTGACGGGTCTCTTTTGCACCCGGATGTCTGCACATATGAAATCGGGTCTCTCTGTCCACAATGGCCGTTTCGCGTTGTTTTTTATACGGGATACGGCTCTTTTCTGTTCAAAATAGAGCCGACGCGGTATACGGCGCAGAATCTCGTTCAGTCGTTCTCGATCCCACATGATCATGTGCACGCCCGGGGCGGCCACGGACCGCCTCTCGGGCCGCCGTACTCGAGGAGCGCCCTCCTATACACCTCGACGGCGCACCCGTTCCGCGCCTCAAATTCGGCGCGGAGAGGCATGAGCCGCATCGCCTCGAGCGTCAGATTCGACAGCCGCTCCTCGGCCCGCCCCAACTCGGTGCCGATCTTGGACCCATTCCAGGCACGGTGAAGTTTGTCGATGGAGGCGAGGATCGCCGCCGTGTAGTTGGACCCGCTTCGCGTGGTGTCGCCGCTCCGCAGCAGCACCTCTAGCCGACCCTTTGACGCCAGCCTGTCCAGCGCGCTCTCTGTGCGGGACAGCGGTGGCCCGCCGCAGGCCGTCCATCCGCGCAGCACTTCGAAGACGATGTCCAACCTGCTGAAAAAGCCGATGAAATCGAAGCCCGCGAGGACGCGCATTGCGCGCTCGACGCTGCAGCCGCGTCCGAACCCGTTTGAGGCAGCACAGAGCCCCATGCCTCGGCAGATGAGATGATTGTCCCCGTACACGAGGCGGGCCTGCCGCGTCTGGTGGTCGACGCGATAGAAATCGCGGGGAAAGTAGTGGACCTCTGATCGAAATTGCTCGTACGGCTCGCGGAGCACGACCAGGCGCCGTGCGCCGCAGCTCTGTCGACCCGCCGCGTTCGCCTCCCGCCTGGCCGTCGCCTCCAGCTTTGCGAGGTCTGACCAGTCCGGCGCTCCGCTGGCATGGTGGTACTCGCGGTAGATGCCATAAGGCTGGCTCGTGTTCTTGCGCTTGAGCACGTTGCGGATCGTCGTGCCTGCGCACTTTCTGATGTGCCAGTGATACACATCTGGCGCGCAAGCGCCGGAGGTGTTCGGCTGCCAGCCCATCGCGCGCGAGTCAATGCACCGCTTCAGCGCTGCCCGGCTCTTTTCGCTGCCTCGCTTGCACTGCCGGCTGGCGCAGCAGCCGCATCGAGTCAGTGAGCACCAGCTGTCGAGCTGGCCAGCACAGCCGTCCGCCACCGGCGACGAGCGCATTCGCCCCAGGTTCCGGCTGCAGCTGGCGTTGCTGGGAGACGGCATGCCGCCAGCAGTGCACTGAAGTCGAGTGTGCTGCACTGAGAGATATGCGCGGTGTCGGAGAGTCGCCGGTGGCGGACGTTGTGAGTCGGAGAGTCGCGGTGTCGGCTCGTCTTCGGAAAGACCAGGATCGCTCTACTGGCAAACTTCTGGCTGACACGCGCGCCCGGTCGAGCCTTCGGCGGACGCGCTGCGGTCGCACGCCTACCCAAGTCATATGCCACGGCGTGCGATCTAGATTCAGCACACGCGCCTCTGCTCGCAACCACTCATCCAATGAACTGTCGTCACCCATGAGTGCGAGTTAGGGCTAGCGGCTGGCCAATAGCCTGTGAGGAGGGCGTCCATAGATAGACACCTCACAAGACCCCACACACGGTCTCGTCCGTGCCTTGCGGCCGGCGACGAGATTGCTAGAGGCGGAGCAAGCCTGCTCTAGTCTCACACGTTCGCCCCTGTCGCCTGTCTGTGTTGTTGTGCTGTTGTTTGTCTCTTGGCACCTTGGAGTGCTGGGGGGGGCGACAGGGGGGACGTGGCCTGAGTGATGTGTACGCCCACTCAGGATGTGCGGCAGCCCGCTGGCTGTGTGTCTTGTGAGCTTGTTTGTGTCTGTGTGTCGCTCGTGCGTGTCGTCATCATCTGTCTTGCGTCCACCCATACCGCGTTGGTGTCCAGTCCGAGCCTGACTGTTCTTCACCTTCCTACATACATACATGCTAAGTGCATTGCCGTTCTTAACGGAGTCGCTTAGGCGGCTCCGGTAGTGTGCCGGTGATAGTACTAGCACGCGCCAGCTCGCACCTGTGTCGAGCCTGTCTGCTGTGAGAGACACTTCTTTTGTTTAAATTCTCGATTTCCTGCTTCCGTCGCACGTCCTCGTCCATTCACCAGTTCGCCAACTCGCCAACTCGGCAACACGACGTCCTCGGTCTCTGCGACAATCCTGGTGCTCGCTGCGCTGCACAAGGGTGCGGCGGCACAGGTGTAGGGCTCCAAGGGGAAAGAACAAGACGGGTAAACAGAGAAGAGTCAGTAGAGACGGGACAAAAGCTGAGAGGATGGGGAGGGTGTAGCATGTGTGTGCGTTCTAGACCTTGAGTAGTCTCTGATGCCCAATGCGTGCACTCGTCTTCGCGGGGCGGGGTGCGCACTGCGCGCCGCGAGGATGAGGAGCCTGAGCCAGGGGAGGGTTGGGAAGGGGGGGCGAGGCCGGAGGAGTATGACGGCCTCTTCGACGGCCCATAAGGGGCCGTTGTCTGCTGTGCCTTTTGTGGTGCTAGTTCGTGCCAGTCTGCTGTGAGAGCGCCTTTATCTTAAGAATTCTTTCCATGCTATACCCGCTTTGACCGCGGCGCTTCCTTGCCTTTGCCGTGTTTTGCTGAGCGACATGGGCCTCTTCTCGTCCGCCCCCGACGAGGAGCAGCAGAAGGCATGCCTCGCCGCCCTCGCCGCCGCCTTCCCCGACGTCAGCGAGCGGACCCGCAAGCAGTACGCGGCGTCGCACAAGTTCAAGCCCGACAAGTGACTGCGGCCTTCCCAAACGCCTGCATACAATTCGCCACCCGCCGCACGCGCGACCTCCTCCCCCCCCGCCAGGGCGTCCAAGGCGCTGGGCGAGAGCGAGAAGTGGCGGGCAGAGACTCTGCCAAGAGCGCCCGGCCCCGACGGCAGCGATGGCGCCGCCGCCGCGTCGCTGCTCTTCACGCACCGCGGCTTCGACCACCACGGCCGCCCCGTCTTCCTCTACTACGGGAGTTCCTTCGCGCCCAAGAAGTGGGACGCGGACGCCGTCATGCTCGGCGTCGTGCACACGCTCGAGGCGCCACTCTTACGCCACGCGCCCACCACACACCACACACACGCTCGCCATCGCCACATCGCCATCTCGCCGCCGCGCCAACAATCCCCGCCGCACCCGCCAGTGTGCCCTCGCCCCCCCCCCCCCCTCACCCCCCCTCCCCTCACCACCATCGACCACCCGCCGCATCGCCATAGGCCTCGCCACCACACCCCACCGCCGGCCCGTGCGCAGGCGGGCTTCGCCGCCGCCGATGCCAAGGACCCGACCAACGACGGCGAGATGCCCCGAGATGCCCCGAGATGACGCGAGATGACGCGAGATGACGCGAGATGGCGCGAGATGACGCGAGATGACGCGAGATGACGCGAGATGACGCGAGATGACGCGAGATGACGCGATGCCGAGGACGCGTCCAACGACGGCGATGAGACGCCCCTCCTCTTCCTCCTCTCTCCTCGCAGCTACGGCCGTCGCCCTCACACGCGCACATCGCTGGGGTGCGAACCGGTTTGCGGTCGAGATAGGATGCTGCGTCATCATCTTCCTCATGGACGGAGGCACCAAGCTCGACATGGGCCTTGCCAAGCAGGCGCCGCGACGCAAAAGGAGAAAGACGCCGGAGCCGCCACACGCGTGGCAGAGTTGCAGCCGAGGGGCAGCCGAGGGGCAGCCGAGGTGCAGCCGAGGTGCAGCCGAGGTGCAGCCGAGAGGCAGCCGAGGGGCAGCCGAGAGGCAGCCGAGGGGCAGCCGAGGTGCAGCCGAGAGGCAGCCGAGGGGCAGCCGAGGTGCAGCCGAGGTGCAGCCGAGAGGCAGCCGAGCGGCAGCCGAGGGGAGGCCGAGGGGCAGCCGAGGGGCAGCCGAGCGGAGGGCGTATTGTGCCCACCGCGATTCTCGCGCGTGCTCGAACCTCTCTCTCGAGCTCCCACCTCTCGAGCTCCCCTCGGCTCACCTCGGCTCACCTCGGCTCACCTCGGCTCACCTCGGCTCACCTCTGCTCCCCTCGGCTCCCCTCGGCTCACCTCGGCTCACCTCGGCTCACCTCGGCTCACCTCTGCTCCCCTCGGCTCCCCTCGGCTCACCTCGGCTCACCTCGGCTCACCTCGCGGCCCTTTCCACCTTTCCACCCGCACGCGCAGTTCAGCAGTTCTAGTAGCAGGCAGCCTTATCTCGCGCGTCATCATACCTCCCCGCGAAGTCATATCTCCCCCAATCTCCCCCAATCTCCCCGCAGTTCTCGCGCCTGGTCGGCGCGCACTACCCAGGACGTGCGTACAAGGCGCTCATCTACCCGGGCACGCCTCTCGCCACCAGGCGTGGCGCACGCCCCCGTGCCCCCCCCCCCCCCCCCTGAGTTTTAAGTTGTAGATCAGTCCAACCAAAAGCCGCGCGTGCGGTGGGGTCATCGGCCCAAC